ACAGGGAATCCAGTGCTGAAACCCACAGTGGCAAAACTGCAGGAAAGCAGCTTGGACTTAGGGTTGCCAACTTCTGAATCAGGATTCCTGGAGATTCGGAAGGGAACCTGGGGAGGGCATCGTTTGGGGAGGGGAGGGACCATAATGCCATAGAACCCACCCGCCAAAGCAGCCAGTTCCTCTGGGGGATCCCGTTTCTTGTTTTCTGGAGATCAGTTCTAATTGCAGACATCCAGGCCCCACCTGGAGGCTGGAGATCCAAACAAAACATCCGTGACAAAAGTAACGAAAATAAAGATGATGTGCAAAATTGTTTACTATAAAAATTATGTAAAAAACTCTCTTCTTATGGCTCACACACCACAACAGATTTTGTGCAATGTAAAAAATATCCATTTCACAGGATTGCTTTATCTCCCCCCCCCAGTTATATTTATTTCAGTTTTTCTATATGCGATACAAAATGCATATACATGTCTTATACAACCGTACATAAAATGTTGGAGTCATATACTTGTCCATTTAATACCTTAATTTTTATCTAACCATCTATAAAAATTTTCCCATCTATTTATAAACAACATTTCATCCTTATTTTGTAATATTGTAGTCAATTTATCTATTTCAACCACTTCCTGTATTTTATGAATTCTCTTTTTGGGGGTATTCCCCCTTGTTTCCAATATTTGGCAAATAAAATACGTGCTGCTGTTATTATATACACCATAACATATTTTTCTTCCCATTTGTAATTATCCTGTAGCACATTTAACAAGAATAGTTCTGGCAATAGGGGTATTTCTACTTCTAAGATATTTACTAATAATTTATGTACCTTATGCCAGTATCGTTGGGTCACAGTACATCTCCACCAGGTATGGTAAAAAGTGCCCACATTATGTTCACATTTCCAACATTTTTTTGACAAAGTAGGGTAACATTTTGCCAATTTATCTGGTGACCAATGCCACCGGTGAAACATCTTGTATACATTCTCCCTATATGGAATAGATCTTAAATATTTCGCAGTCTTCCAAACTTTAGACCAAGCATCTATATCTATAAAAAGGTAAAGGTTCCCTTGCTCGAAAGCCAGTCGAATCCGACTCTAGGGTTGCGGTGCTCATCTCCGTTTCAAAGCTGAAGAGCCAGCGCTGTCCGAAGACGTTTCCGTGGTCATGTGGCCGGCATGACTAAACACCAAGGCGCACAGAACGCTGTTACCTTCCCACCGAAGTAGTACCTATTTATCTACTTGCAATGTCTTGCTTTCGAACGGCTAGGTTGGCAGGAGCTGGAACTAGAGATGGGAGCTCACTCCATCATGCAGCACCCGGGTCTCGAACTGCTGAACTACTGACCTTCCACAGCCTGCAGTTCAGCGTCTTAACCACTTGAGCCACCGCTCAAGTGTATATCCAAAATCCTGCATCCACGTAACCATAGTACTCTTCACCTCTTCATTCAATTCATAATCATCATCATCAAGGGGTGTGTAGAATTTCCCCTAAAAGACTAATAGAATTTCAGTGGGCGAGCAGCCGAGACTGCAAATGTTGACGCTCGGCGAAACCGGAACCCCCCCAGGATTGCTTTATCTGAGTGTGTAGCAATTACAGTTCTTCTCAGTTCCCACTTACCAATACTCGAAGGAAACATCCCATGTTGACTCTCTGATATCAGAACCCGAGGCCTTCACCTGGAGGCTGGCAACCCTTGAGCTCTTATGCTACCGAAAAATGCGCTATGACCCAACATTAGCATCTTCAGGACTTGGATTCTGGACACGAATAAGGAGGACAGACTCTGTCCTACGGGATGGTACAATCCACTGATATGCAAGAGCACAGGCCTTAATTTCGGTGTGGCTCACGCAGGTGAATGATGCTCATTTCAGAGCGTAGCCATGTTGGTCTGCAAGGGGAACAGTTAGATTGGAGTGCAGGAGGACCTTCGAGACCAAAAAGATTTCGAGGGGTGTAAGCTTCTTTATTATTTTTATTATTTATTCGATTTATTAATCGCCCTACCCTAGGTCATGCTGGGCTCTGGGTGATGTATAGAAAAGGCAAAATGCCGTAAAACAAGATATACATTTTAAAAATCCAGTTAAATAAGAAGTAAGACGAAAGTAAAAATCCCAGAGGGCAATTTATAGCTTTCTGTTCCCATTTTGGACAGTCTGGGTATTTGGTGGGAAGGGAGAAGGAGAGTTAAACAAAATATATATAGGGAGGAGAGGAAAAGGGGAAGGCCACCAGCTGATGTAACCAACCGTTGCTGTCCTCAGCCAAGAGCCTGGCGGGACTATTGAGATATATGTCAGAGTGATAAGAGGTAGCAAGCAGTTACTATAGATCAGTTTGATCTGTTTGTCAGACCTAGCTGTCATGCTAGTAATCATGTAATTACAGCCAGGTGTTTTCTAGCAGGTGTTGCTCTTTCAGGGCTTGTTAGAGATTGGCTGGGGTTTAGTGTAATAGCTATCAGCTTAGTAAACTGGGGGGGACTCAGTTCTCATAGACTAAGGCACGACATGCTGTTCAATAGCCTGTAAATATCTCTGTATATATTCACCTTTATAACTATATAAACTCTCTGTGCACCTTCGTAAACGGTCAGTCTCCCACTTCTTATTTACAACACCCCATAGGGACATCTCTGCCTTACAGGCCGTGCGGAATTACACAAGGTTCTGCAGGGCCCTAGTATCATTTGGCAGAGAGTTCCACCAGGTCGGGGCTAGGACGGAAAAGGCCCTGGCCCTGGTTGAGGACAGCCGTACATTCTTGAATCAAAGCGCCCTTCCTTAGATATGCCCCTTGTGTTAGCCCGAACATGGATTCTCCATCTTTGGAGCTGGCTCTGAGCATCACAAGTACACCTGGGCAACTCATCGGGTTGCCAATTCATTTGGGAGATTCCTGGAGATCTGGGGGCTGTACCTGGGAAGAGTGCTCCCCGGGGATGTCATGTCAGAGTCCACCCCCCAGAACTTCCAGTTCCTCCTGGGGGATTGATCTCTGCACTGTGGACAGCAATTCATTCCAGAGCCCCAGGCCCCAGCTGAAAGGTGTTAACCAAAGTGTCTGTTTTTGTCAAAGTTAAAAGGCTGAAGGATCGCTTAAGTTCCAGCTAGGGAAGCCAGTCTGCAGAGGTCCGGTTGCCTGTCAAAGACTGCAAAACATGGGCCGGAACTCGCCTCGATCCCTTCGGCCGGCCCTGAAAAGGCTTGCTAAGGCTCAACCAAAATGTCACAAGACAACTAACTTTCACGTTCTCCAGAACTTTTCATTCGCAGAACTCAGAAGTTTGATATTTTGTAATATTCTGGTTGCCCTCCATAAAAAGCCTTCACCAGGGCTTTTTTTGTAGAAAAAGCCCAGCAGGAACTCATTAGCATAATAGGCCACACCCAACATCAGAAACTCATTAGCATATTAGGCCACACACCATTCCTTCCCTTGGCTTGCCTGAGCGCCCCGTGGCTGTGGGGAGCCCAGCCCCCCCCCCGAAGGGAAGGAAAGGCAGTTTAAACTGCCTTCCCTTGGCTTGCCCAGGGAAGGCACGGGGAGGCATTTAAATGCCTCCCTGATCCTTTCAGGGCCTTGGAGTCGCCGGGGTGGTGGTGGTGGTGCTGCTCTCCAGGCCTTTGCCCTGTAGCCACACACGCAGAGGTTTTGGCTGTAGTGGGCGTGGCCAACTCTGAAGCCAGCCGGAACTCCGTTCCTGCCCAAAAATAGCCCTGGCCTTCACCTATTTTTGGAACGTTTCCACGAACCAACAGGGCAACTCAACCATCCCTCTATAACGTAACATTTTCCACGTTTTGCAGGTGTGAAGCAGATCGGGTTAACCAGGTCCCCTTTGGCCACCGGCAAGGGATAGCGGGTAGGGTTGCCGGATCCAGGTTGGGAAACTCCTGGAGATTTGGGGATTGAGCCTAAGAAGGATGGGGGGGGGGCAGTGGAGGACAATGCCACAGAGTCCACCCTTCCAAAGCATCCCTGTTCTCCAGGGGAACTGATCTCTGTAAGATGGAGATGAACTGTAATTCCAGGGGGTCCTGGCATCCCTAGAAGCAGAAGAGGGCACCTTCCCCTTTTCCTTACGAAAATCTGAATGCTAAAGATCTGTATGCGAAATATGCCATCTTGTTAAAGTGCTCAAATACTTATGCTGAATGTTTTAATATGGAATTTGTAGTTTTAACTGGTTTTAAAATTGTATTGGATTTTATGTTGTTGTAAACCGCCCTGAGCCCCGCGTAAGTGGGGAAAGGCGGTTAAGAAATCGGGACAAAATAAAAAAAATTGTTCCTGCATGTACCATGCATCTCCGTATTTGTTTCCAAAAAGCATGCCCAACTTTCCAGGTTTCAAGACGCACAAGCCATTTCCCAAATTTCTGTAACAAAGATGGGACTGCACAAATGAGAGTAGGCAAAGAAAAGGACACTTTATTTCAGAAAACAGCAGTGTCATAATACAAAATTAGATTACGAACATGTTACACACGGTGAATCTACGTAGTCATAGTAGCTCTTATCAACAGGGGTGTGCCCCTATCTTCACGGAAGCCCCCTTCCAATTACCACAAAGTTGTGCCACCACAAAAGACCGCATCTGCTTTGAAAATACCCTTTTCCTTAAGGGATGTTTCATTTGCTTGAAGCCGCCTAGCCAGCTAAAACCTGGCTCTAGCAACCCCTCTCTTGCCCCATCACAATCGGGTAGAAAAGAGGCTAAATTACAACACCCCAGGGGCAGTGTACGACAGCCCTTTAGGGAAGGAAGTGCATAAAGAAAGCCTCACAACATTTCATGAGTGTCTTAAAGATCTAGGATTCCCATTCATAATTGCATTTCTGAAAAACGCATTCTTCATAACATTTCTAAATTGCAAATATATATATATAAAATTTAAATATATACATGTCCAAAGGGAAAACACATTGTAATAGGATGGATCTGTCCAAAATGTGATGCATCCTAGTCGGAAAGAGCAATTTCAAGGTCATCTGCAAGCTTTGATTTCAAGTTGGACACGGAAATAAAGACCACAACTTGATGTCTATAGAAGATCACCCCAGCATTCCACTAGCAGCGTTCATGATGGCTTCTTGTTGGATAATTTTTCACTGTTTTTAATCTTGTGTTGTTGTTTTTCCTTTGGAGATAAAAAGCTTTTAGGCTGTATCGTTTTGCAAGAAGGACAGAATATCCTTGAGGTTATCATGCTCTTCCTTGAGGTTCAGGGACGCTGTGAACACTGTCCGTCAGGACGGAAGTGGGATCCTCATAACTTACAAAAACAGGCACATTCTTTCCCCTATGCTTAAAGCCTGTTGTGTTTATTTTCTGTTAGTTTGCTCTCTGTCCTGATTTGTACGTCCTTGAACGTGTGTTTCTCAGCAAAGTTCGCCACTCTCTCCGCTGCCATGAAACCCAGGAGTACAGAGGTCAAGCCGCCAGGCTCACAATTAAACCTCACACCCCTCATTTTTTTCATACTCGCTAAGCACCAAAGCACATTTGCGCACCACAGATATGTTCACTATGGTCTGGTGACGTCGTGCTTGTTTTTAAACGGTGTGGATCAGACCTCCAACAAATGCACATAAACGATATCCCCATTTGTACCTAGGGAAGAAGAGCACCTGCGTGCATGTTCTTTCGCACCTGTGGATCTGCTCCTTTCCAGTAAAACGTATGCAAGTTGCTCATCGATGCAAAGGCACTGCAAGGAACCCATGCAGGCAACTGCAGAGTGCAGACTGCCTGTGTGTCCGTGAATAAGCCAGTCTCTTCCTTGCAAATAAGGATTTCTCTTTTTCTGTTGGGTCTTTGCAGCTAAGCTCTAGGAGAAACCTTTGTGGAGGGGGGACAGCAAACTCACTTGGCAGTTCATGGTGTTACCGGTGGCCAGATTTTAGATACGCTTTCACGCGCCGCTTCCGGAACCCACTGGCAATATTCCTCCAACAAATCTGAAACAGAACAATAACTTGTGAGCGAGGGTCCGTTAACGGAAAGCGGTGTTTGGGAAAGTCCGGCCAACAAGATTGGATGAAACTTTCCGAAGTGTTTTAAAATCACTCTGCGGTAATGACGGAGGACAGGGCAAGTTATGGTCTGGCCTTGCATGAAGAGATACACAGCTGGAGGGGCAGAGACGTAATCAACAGGGCACCCTTTCTAGAGGGGAGATGGGAAAAACCTTTTTGGCAACCATCCTTGTTCCTTTAAAACTGGTCATCAAACTGGAATTGCCAGGACACTCAAACTGTGCCATGACAATTACATTAATTCAACTCCAAACAAGGCAAGGTTCTGGCAAGCCCCAAGAATCACTTGCAAAAGAAGCTCCTGCTGCAACTCCACATGAGTCACTGCTCTGGCAAGCAACTGCTTCCAAACAGCTTCTTCTGGGATGAGTAATTCTGCAGCGCCTCTATGGTGTGGGTGTGACTGGATCACTTATCCGATGCAGAGGCACAGCACAATCACCCACCTTTCAAGGAGGTTGCCTGTTGGGTCTCTGTATGAATGGCTATTCAGGATCCACCTACGGATCACACTACAGTGTCATCTCCAGAGGCGGGGGAAAGCCTGTTCATTTCACTGGGGGTTTGGAATGTGCTCTACCCCTCAACTACAACCCCTCCAAGCAGGCATTCTTGTGCTTGTCTCAAAACAGACAGAAGACCACCGCAACTTCACCCGCATGCCCAAGATCCAAGAAATGCGACTGCCTCCTTCTTAAGTGTTCTTTGCTCAGTCTCAGAAACCCTAACATGTGGGATTACACAGATGCTTGGATATGTCATTGCGGGAATTCTCAGGCACTGCCGCCGAGAGAAAGCCGACCCTGGGCTGTCAGACAGCCGAAAGGAGGCAGCTGTGTTTTCAGGCACCTTGAGTGATGCTCAACTCAGCTCAAATGCAGAAACACAGCAAAATCCACGAGAACGTCTAGCGTGTTAATCAGGGCTTACATTCTGGGTTCCTGTTCCAGGCGGCAAGCAAGGCATCCCGGTTATCGGCATTTTCGGACACCAGCGCTTTCAGGAGGAATTCTGTCCTCGGTTGGAGTCTGCAGGGATTCCAAATAGAGACGTGCACACATTAGGGCATGGGCATAAAACCAAGCAGATGCTCTAAGTTTTGAAGAGAACCAGAATCCACAGGGGCAGCCCACAGAATCCAGTGCGTTGAAGGAGTCCGAGGGTTGAAAGAGAATCTGGGAGACCACCCGGCTCCAAATCCCTACTCTGCCTTGGAAAGGTGGGGTATCAGTGAAACAGATAAGTTCTCTCCAGGGGAGTGGCGCCATGCAGCACTACGCCTGCTGCGTAACCGGAGTCTCTCTTCCAGTCTGGTGTAGTGGTTAAGCGCGCGGACTCTAATCTGGGAGAACCAGGTTTGATTCCCCACTCCTCCGCTTGCACCTGGCTGGATGACCTTGGGCAAGCCATAGTTCTGGTCAGAGCTGTTCTGAAAAAGAGCAGTTTCTGTCAGAGCTCTCTCATCCCCACCTACCTCACAGGGTGTCTGTTGTGGGGAGAGGAAGGGAAAGGAGTTTGTAAGCTGCTCTGAGACTCCCTTGGGTAGTGAAGGGCGGGGTATAAATCCAATCTCTTCTCTTCTTTTTCTTGAAAAAGAGCAGTTTCTGTCAGAGCTCTCTCAGCCCCACCTACCTCACAGGGTGTCTGTTGTGGGGAGGGGGGAAGGGAAAGGAGTCTGTAAGCCGCTCTGAGACTCCTTTGGGTAGTGAAGGGCGGGGTATAAATCCAACCTCTTCTCTTCTTCTTCTTCCAACGGAGGACAGATTATTTCCTTTATTTACATCCCGCCTTCCTCCCCAAGGGCGACCCAAAGCGGCTTACATTGTCCTCTTCTCCTCTGTTTTACCCCCACAACAACCCTATGAGGTAGGTTATGCTGAGAGTATGTGACTGGCCCAACATCACCCAGCAAACTTCCCCAGCAGAGCGGGGATTCGAACCTGGGTCTCCGAGATCCTAATCTGACACTTTAAACCCAGAGGTGTCAAACTCATTTGTTACAAGGGTCGGATCTGACATCAATGTCATTTTGTTGGGCCGGGCCACGTGTGCCATAAAATGTAATGTCAGGTACGGGAGATACAAACTTGATAAAGGACATAGTAAAGGTAAAGGTTTCCCTTGCTCGAAAGCCAGTCGAATCCGACTCTAGGGTTGTGGTGCTCATCTCCGTTTCCAAGCTGAAGAGCCAGCGCTGTCCAAAGACGCTTCTGTGGTCATGTGGCCGACATGACTAGATGCCGAGGCGCACGGAATGCTGTTACCTTCCCACCAAAGTGGTACCTATTTATCTACTTGCAATTTCTTGCTTTTGAACTGCTAGGTTGGCAGGAGCTGGGGCCAGAGACGGGAGCTCACTGTGTCACGTGGCACTTGGGTCTTGAACTGCCGAACTACAGACCTTCTGGTCATAGAATCATAGAATTGGAAGGGACCTCCAGGGTCACCTAGTCCAACCCCCTGCAGCTCAGTGTCTTAACCTCTGAGCCACTGCGGCCCCTATAAAAGACACAGGCAAATCTAATTAGCAATATTATTATTTTTTTACTCAAAATACAAACCAAAGCAATTGATTCCTAGCAGTGAAAGCTAGGAATTTACTGGGGAACCCAGAAAAGTCCCAATAAATGCATTTAATCATATGCAAGACTAAGTTTTTTCCAAGGGATACCATAAAAGGGGGAATACCTTACATTTCCATACATATCAGTTGCTTGCGGGCCAGGTAAGAGCCCTACGGGCCTTATGTTTGACACCCCTGATTTAGGAACTGCGCCACACTTGGCCACCACAACAGAGGCTGCATTGTCACTCTCACAGATGTTTTGCAGGCTGGCTCCCTCTTTTACTCCTAAGTCAGGAAAACAAGCAATCCTCCCCCTTCCCCCTCCCCCAAGCTTGTCAACAACTCACTTGGACCATGATTTCAGCATTATGACTGGATTAGACAGCAGGCAGCGGGTGAAGGAGCCCAGCTTCTTAAAGACCTAGAAGGAGACACACACACACATATATATGTTCTAAAAAGAAGTGATATCCAGGGAATGGCTTTCAAGATCGTTACAAGGTGGAATTAAGCAGGGAGGGGCCTGTCTACCTCGCCAACCTGCCTCCTGGAGCACTGAGAGGCAATGTGGGCGGTGACCACATGGCTTCTTCAGTGGTGGCACCCTGCTGTTGGTATACCCTCCCCCCCACCTTAGTGGCTTTTAGGTGCCAGGGCAGAGAGCCAGTTTTGTTTCGTGGTTAAGTGCGCGGACTCTAATCTGGGAGAACCAGGTTTGACTCCCCACTCCTCCACTTGCAGCTGCTGGATGACCTTGGGCAAGCCGTAGTTGTTGGATGGCCTTGGGCAAGCCGTAGTTCTGATAAGAGCTGTCCTTGAAAAAGAGCAGTTTCTGACAAGAGCTCTCTCAGCCCCACCGACCTCACTGGGTGTCTGTTGTGGGGAGGGGAAGAGCAAGGAGTTTGTAAGCCGCTCTGAGACACCTTTGGGCTGTGAAGGGCGGGGTATAAATACAATCTCTTCTCTTTATCTTCTCTTTACCCAGGTGTTTAACAGAGGGCTTTTAAACCCTTTTTTAAAAAGCCGTTCTGTGGTCCATGTAATGATTCCAAGTTGTGTGTTTGTGTGTGTTTCTTTAAAGTGGTTGGTAAGTGTCAGTAGAACAAGGGGGTGAAAGAGGGAGATGAGTGAGTGAGGCAATTGGTTGGTGACTGAGAGTGTGTGGGTCGAGCTAGGATTTACCGACGTATTGTGTGAACTTCAATAAAGTTTATAAAATCTTAAAAAGAAAAAAACGAAGTCAGTAGCTGTCAGCTGTGGCCAATCTACATAGAGTCTGAGAAGTAGTCTTCTAACTAGAATCATATAGAAGTGCTGTGAAAGGCATTCAGAGTCTAAAGGAGGAAGAAAAGTACTTCAGGGGGCAATTTAGACAAAATCTAATATTGTCAGAGTATTACAACAGTGTGTGAGGGGGGGAAAGCTGACAGAGACCCGAGTAAAAAGTGAAAGATTTTACTCAGCAACTTAACAAAGCATCATCTTGTAACCAACACGCTTCTTTGACCAATAAAGTTTTATCGTGTAACCAACACACTTCTTTTACCAATAAAGTTTTATCGTGTAACCAACACACTTCTTTTACCAATAAAGTTTTATCGTGTAACCAACACACTTCTTTTACCAATAAAGTTTTATCGTGTAACCAACACACTTCTTTTACCAATAAAGTTTTATCGTGTAACCAACACACTTCTTTTACCAATAAAGTTTTATCGTGTAACCAACACACTTCTTTTACCAATAAAGTTTTATCGTGTAACCAACACACTTCTTTTACCAATAAAGTTTTATCGTGTAACCAACACACTTCTTTTACCAATAAAGTTTTATCGTGTAACCAACACACTTCTTTTACCAATAAAGTTTTATCGTGTAACCAACACACTTCTTTTACCAATAAAGTTTTATCGTGTAACCAACACACTTCTTTTACCAATAAAGTTTTATCGTGTAACCAACACACTTCTTTTACCAATAAAGTTTTATCGTGTAACCAACACACTTCTTTTACCAATAAAGTTTTATCGTGTAACCAACACACTTCTTTTACCAATAAAGTTTTATCGTGTTTATTGTTAACCCAGAGTTTTATCCTCAGAACCACATAGTCCAACAAAGGAGCCTTAGAGCTTGGGCACAATACTGTGGGAAAGGTTAATTAAAGACTGGAATTAAATTCCTGGTGGTCGCGATAGATACTTTGAGTGAGAGAAACAACAAGAAACTTAAAACCACATCACACCTAACCACACACAAAATAAAAGAAAGGTATCGTCACAGTCTGGTTCTGGCCTGAGGACCTTTTTACAGATATTCTTGACTCTGCTCAAAGTTGCATGCGGCTTTTATGCCCTGGCTTGTTTTTCATATTTACAGTCTATGTTGCCTTCATGGTATTCTATTCCCCTCCCCCCCACAAGCCACCCGAAGGGGGTCTTTAGGGAGGAGGCGTACAATTCTCCTAAAGAAATAAAACAGACTGGTAGACAAACGCACACGCACCTTCCCTTCCAGTAAGAACCTGGCAAAGTATTTGTAGCGATCAATGCCTTCCGGATAATCCACCTCCACGGCAGGGAGCGGCCATCCTACTCGATCTGCAGAGAGAGGGGGGGGGGTGTTGCGTGTATGTGTTAGGGCATCTCTCGCTAGCTGGCCCGGCATTCAGCCCTCAAACGCTCGATTCCGTCTCCTCCAAAGAGGAAGGGACCAACCTTGCCAAACTGGGCACCAGCCAGTCCCAATCGAGAGCTTCAACCACATTTTACAGACAGAAGCATGCAAACGACAGCCCAAAAAGTTTAACCGGGAGCCACAGTAGGATTTGTGCTTCCAACACAGATTGTCAGTGTAGCTCAGGGGTCCCCACAATGTGATGTTTGTGGGCCCCATGGTACCCGCCAACACCTTTCCTGAGGCCCACCAAGTATTTTTTTTGAAAGAGGGCCTGGCCATCTGGGGCTTCTGATTGGCAGTGTAGATTTTTTAAAAAATGTTGCCTTGGAAGCAGTGGCCATCCCAGCACAAAGATCTACACTGCGAGCCTAAAGGTAAGCTGTGGCAGCCATTTTGTGGCTGACTCTGTCTCCTGTGGTGGCCATTTTGTGCCTCCGCCCACCACGACATGTCAGAATGCCAAATGTGACTGAGGGCTGGAGGAGGAGATTGGATTTATACCCTGTCCTTCACTCAGAGTGGCTTACAATCTCCTTCCCTTCCTCTACTCACAACAGACACCCTGTGAGGTAGGTGGGGCTGAAAGAGCTCCGAGAGAACTGCTCGTGAGAGAACAGCTCTGAGAGAACTTGTGACAGACCCAAGGTCACTACAGCAGCTGCATGTGGAGGAGCGGGGAATTAAACCCAGTTCTCCCAAATTAGAGTCTGCGCTCTTAACTCGTTGGGGACCTCTGATGTAGTTTTTGTACCACAGAGACTTTTCTGCAGTATTCTAAAACAATCAGTGGCAAAACATTAGCTCCCCCTGAGAAAGAAACGCAACGCCACAAAACTCACAGAAGACGCTCAGCCTGTGGCATTTGATGTTGCCCGTTTCAGGACAGTAAGAGGGGGGAGGATGTTCTAGTGGCTTTTCAAAGTGGCAGTACATAGGCAAGAGGAGAGGAATCCATTCTGGCTCGACGGCTGAAACACCTGCAAGAGATCAGACAGAAGGAACAAAAGACAGGTGGGTAAAAAACAAAATCGAGCCTTCACCCAGTCTGGCCCTCGCAAGCACAGAAATCGGCGCGTTTTGAATGATAAGATGTCCTCCATCAGAGCAAAAAGCAGAGCTATTTGCCCTTGATGAGAACAACAACAACAACAACAACAACAACAAAATCTATTCCCTGTTATTTCACTTTTTAATTCAAGTCTGAGAAAGAAAATCCAACATAACATCAGTTACTTTCTCCCTGTTTACCCCGAAGGGAACATTAACGTCATTGCTGAGGAACTTGTGTGTGCTGCAAAGGATTCTGGATGTGTTTTGAGATGGTGGGATGGGGTGAGACTTTGGCCATGCTTACTCAGGGAAGGGCCATGGCTCAGTGGGTAGAGCACCTGCTTGGTGTGCTGAAGGTTCCAGATTCAATCCCCGGCATCTCCAGTTAAAAAGAACCAGGCAGTAGGTGACGTGAAAGACTTCAGCAGAAGACCTTGGAGAGCCGCTGCCAGTCTGAGTAGACAAGACTGATCTTGATGGACCAAGGGTCTGATTCAGTATAAGGCAGCTATTAACCATGGACCTCCGCCCTAAGAACTGCAACCACACATTCCAGAGAACAACAGGATATAGCATGAGCTTCTAAAGAACTCCATGGGGTGTGTTCAGACGGGGCGATTCTGCCGGCATAAACTGCACCAGTTGGAACCGGTGCAGTTTATGCCGGCAGAAACGCGATCACACTTACCCTCCATTTTGCGTAGCCCTCCGTTGGACGCCCGCTCACACGCTGCGGGCGTCGGCGTTTGTTTGTTTTTTTAAAAAAGGACAGTTTGAGCATGCGCATAGGCAGCCATTCAGATAATGGCGATTTTTGCGCATGCTCAAAACCCCCCCATTACATTTAAACTTTAAAGGTAAGGACTTACCTTTAAAGTTTAAAGCCCAACCTGGCCTCCCTGTAGTCCCGGACACCTCCGGGAAGTTAAACTAAGGGCTTTTAAAAAAATTTTAACAAACGCTCAGGGCGAAGCTTCGCCCGAGCGCATATCGCTTGGTTTTTAAAAAAAAAAATGGCGGGGGAAAGCCTCAGGCTTCCGACGGAAGTAGCTGGGGAATGGTGGAGAGCGATCAGACGCCGGGGTGCACCGTTGCACTCAGTTTACCACCAGTTGGGACCTAGTGGCAGAGTGCAACGGTTTAAAGGGATTTACAATGGTTAGGGACGGGAGGCAGATGTTCGCTGTGTGAACGCCCGTAAGTACACCGGATGGAACCGGCACCCTAACCGTTGTAAATCCCCCGTCTGAACGCACCCCAGGTGTCCCCTTCTCCCGTGTTACAGGTGAGCCAAATACCTATATGTCCTGAACTCTGATGTCACAGCAACCTGCTACGCCAGACTCAATTAGGTCTCACTAACCCTTGAGAAAGGGGCAAGCCCCAGGATTTTGTGGCTTGCGGGGCAAATATTTTTCTGGTGGGGCTGAAGTTCTCAGTGCAGAAAGGAAAGCCAGGATTCTGAGGATTAGGACTCAGCTTCTCTTCTCTCTCTGAGTCTTCTCAAGCTGTCTATCCTACACAGCCGTTCTTATGCCAGCAATCACCCTTAGCCTATTAACCACTTAGCCAAAGGATTTAGCTGTTACCAGGATAGATCTCTAGATTGCAAGCTGTCAACCACTTTAGATGAAAGTTCTCAGCTGTTGCAAGTTAATCACTTCTGCCAGCCGGAGCAACAATCCTGAGAACAAGCCGGCAAGTGGGGGGCGATGTCTTCTATAGTAAAGAAAGCAAACACTTAGGCAGAAGAGCTCTCTTAAAGGAGACCAGTTTCTTGACACGGAGTTAGAAGGGATCCTAGAGGTCACCTACTCCAACCTCCTTTCTCAGTGCGGGAATTAATCAACTACAACACCCCACTCTGCTTAAAGAAGAAGAAGAGATTGGATTTATACCCTGCCCTTCACAGCCCGAAGGTGTCTCAGAGCGGCTTACAATCTCCTTTCCCTTCCCCTCCCCACGACAGACACCCTGTGAGGCAGGCGGAGCTGAGAGAGCTCTTGATAGAAGCTGCTATTTTTCAAGAACAGCTCTTATCAGAGCTATGGCTTGCCCAAGGTCATCCAGCCAGGTGCAAGTAGAGGAGTGGGGAATCAAACCCGGTTCTCCCAGATTAGAGTCCGTGCACTTAACCACTACACCAAACTGGAGCGTGTGCCTTTTAAAAATGTTTTAAAATGATTGAAAAAAGCATTTCTAGGAGAAATCCTTGTGGGCTGTGCCTTTAAGGAACGGGGTGGAGCCCCCAAAAGCACCACTGTAGCTATGGGCGTGGAAAGGGGCCCCGGAGAGGAGCAGCCGGTTACCTTTCATGTACATTTTGGTGGTTTCGACGATTTCCTGATAGACCACGAACTCGGGCAGCTGTTTGAAGAGGATGGAGTTGGGGTGGATGAAGACTGGATCATCCAAAAGGGGAGTCTACAGAAAGGCACAGAGGGGGAGAAAGGGCTGAGCCAGGTGAGATGTCTAGGCAGGGCCGGCTCCAGCTTATTTTGCACCCTTGGCGAGGATCCTTTCTGCCTTCCCTGTGCGCCCACCAATTTTCAAAAATAAATGCATTTTGGGAAGAATGAAAAACACAAATAATCAAGAAACTCCCAGAGTACGGGGCCGGGTGCAGTTTGGTGCCCCTAAGGGCCGGCCCGCTCTAGGCGATCGCCTAGTTCGCCTAGTGAGTGAGCCGGCCCTGTGTCCAGGCACAATGCCACTAACCATCAGCACCATTACAGGTGTTCAAGCTGTAAAAAGGTTAAGCCCAGGCTGTATGAGCAGGTATCCTGCAGCTTCCTCACATCCGAATTTGGAAAGAGGTCAGAAGATGTAAAATTGCTGGCTCAGTCCATAGGGTTGCCAACCCCCCCGGTTTGCCAGGGGTCCCCTGTTATGGGGGGGTTCTACCCGCCGCCGGCCAGATGGCCAGCGGGGGAAGCCCCACCCCCAACACCCACAGCCACCCATCTCTCTCCCTTTAAGTGTGTGGAACCCGTGTTTCCTCCCAAGCCAGTGTTTCCTCCCAGGGAAATGCCAGCTTCGTGCATTTAAAGGGGAAATGCAGCTGCTCTTAAAGGGAAAACACGTTTCTGGAGATCCGGCGTGCGGGCGGATGGGGGGCGGACGTCCCCAATGTGACGTCATCACGTTGGGGATGCCCCGCCCCCTCCAGGAACGCCCCCAAAGTCCCCCGCTGGGGGTGGAAGATGGACTTGGCAACCCTACCAGTCCAAGATCCCCCAAGTTGGCAGCTCTTTATAGGCCATGGACAGATGGGTTTTCTGCTCAGAGAAGAGGAGAAACCTCTCAAGTGGCAATGCCAGGATGTTCCAGCTGCTAGGGTGCCTTTGCATCAATGCAAGCAAGTCAAGGCTCCTTGTCAGTCCCCAGCCCCACCCACGGAGGAGGCTTCTGTTGCATCTCTGCATGATTCGCAGCTCTAGCAATCAACCGCTTGATCTGATTGGTTTAATTTATTAAATTTCTACCCTCCCCTTCCAGCCAGGGCTGGCTCAAGGCGGCTTATAAAAGCAGCATAAAATTACAGTAAAATTACAATAAGATACATTAACATATAAAAATGCTAGTATCGGTATCAATAATTCACAGCAGTTTTGTTAGACGAGCTCTTTATTTGCAGTCGGCTCTAGCTCTTTTTAGATCAACTTAGGTGGCTACCTCAGGCTATAAGTTGAATCCCTGGAGAACAGGGCTCTCCCCCTTTAAATAAGCGATCAGTTGTTAATAATTAGTGGTTAGCGGTGACGGCGGCTCCAAAACCCCGGTGGAAGAGCTCCGTTTTACAGGCCCTGCGGACTAATACTCCTGCCCTAGGTGCAGTTGGATCATTTGACTGATGCAGAGGCACAAACAAACATTACCTGGCTTTAGAAGTCTCATTATCTGCCCCCTGTTGTCTCTCTGTATGAGTTGCTGCCCTGGATCCACCTTCTTCAGATCAAGGAACATGCCCAGATCAGCAACTCACATAGAGACGCAGCTCTTCCATGAGCTGGTTTCCCAAGCTTTTTCGTATTTTCAAAGAAAAGCTTTCGGGGTCTCGGCTTTCTTAAACTGGCATGATACTGCCACAGGACGAGGTGGCAGATTATTAAAGGAAACAGCAAGGGAGTAACTGAACTGACAGAGATTTAATGTGTTGAAATAAGCAGCTGAAGTTTTTTATGGTGTGGAGGTCCAACAATATCGCCTGGGAAATAATAGCCCATCAGGCCTTTATTAATGAGACAGGACATTTTTTTTCTCCAGGCTGCCGGCAACCCGAGACAGGATGCCGACGTGTTCTACCTTGTAACCATTTTTTCTCTTCTCATCAAGGAGCTCCTCTGCTTGGATCCTTCGGGCGACGTGGTCTCCGAGCCCCGCCAAGACGATCTGCCGCAAGTAGGTCACCTGGGCCTCTGTCGGGGGCTTCATTTTGGGGTCAACAAAGAGGCCGGCATCGGAGCAGATGGAGTTCACTTGAAGCACGAGAGGAAAACACAAAAAACAGGGAGAGTCTTCAGGTGGGTGGCGAGAGTAAGACTGGATTTTCTTTTCCCTTCTTTCCCCTTCCCCCCTTTCTATACATAAACTAATAAAACTTAAAACTTAAAGAAAAAAACCTCACGCATACAAGATTCTCACACGATGGTATTTGACACCGCAAAAAAATAGCTGCAATAATATCAAAACACTTGCCACTATGTATAGCAACCAAATAATCCAATATATTTTAAGCTAACATACACATAATTAACCACAAAACAAGACAAAGGTGAACTCTGATTGTGAGACACCAAAGACAACATGATAGTATATTCTTGTAAAACAAAGGGTAAAAATAGGTTTAATTTATATAACCTGATAAAGAACATATTATGCAAGAAATGAAGAGTATGGCATTGATGACACTAACACTCTAATAATAAAAAATACTAATTTATTGATAAGGTTTAAGTAATATATTGGCATTTATTCTGATACAAGAGGGGCCCTCGCCGCTCTGCCCCCCCCGCTCGCCGTTCCCCTCGCAAGCGGCGGCGGCCTTTGCAGAGCGTTCCCTGCACATGTGCAGGGGACGCTCTGTGAGTTTCGGGGGGATTTAAACATCCCCCCGATTCTTTTTTTCAACTTTAGGATTTTTGTGCACACGTGGGGACTGCCCCACATGTGCACAAACCTCTCCCTGCCCCCCAGGTGGCCCCGGAGCGCGGATTTAGATATCCGCACGCACGGGGCCAGTTCACTATTAGATATATAGATTAGTTTGAGAAACCCTGTAAAATGAAATGGTATCTATGTATCTATGTACCTATGTATTTTAATAAAAAATATCAATGAAAAAGAAGAAGAAGAAAAAAGAAGGTCCAGGCGATTGCTATAAAACATTTCCCTTGCTCCAACATAGAAAAACAAAAACGAGATCCCCCAATCTGTGGAAAGAAGCAATTCACAGTAGAGTTGCCAGCTCCGGGCTGGGAACTACCTGGAGATTTTTGGGGGGCGGAGCCTGGGGAAGGCAGGGTTTGGGGGAGGGGAGGGATTTCAGTGGGGTATAAATGCCACAAAGTCCACCTTCCCAAGAGGCCGTTTTCTCAAGGCGAACCGATCTCTGTTGTCTGGAGGTCACTTCTAACAGTGGGAGATCTCCAGCCGCCACCTGGAGGTTGGCAAAAAGACATTCCAGAAGTCCCTCAAGAAATGGGCAGGGCCGACCTTTCTAAGGGCTGCTTTTCTTAGCACTAGGTAAACCTTGTTATTACAGTGACCAGGTGCTGGAAATGATGATTCCCAGAATTCCTTTCTTCTCGCTCTCTCTCGCCCAACATCTATATATCTAATAGCCAAGTTGCCCCCTCCGTGCGGATATCTAAATCTACACATCGGGGGCATTTGGGGGGCAGAGAGATTTTCCTGCACACTTGGAGCAGTCCCCAGGTATGCAGAAAAATCTGACAAGCAGTTGTGGGTGTAGGTGGCGTTAGGGTCAGGGGGAGAAGCCTTTGCAGTCCGGAAGCCATGGGGAATACCCTCCACGAGTATCGCGGGTCCCCCTTCTTGTATATTTTAACTTTCTCTCCCTTTGGCAGGTGGCAGAAAGTAACACTTAGGATCTGGGTGCACAAAAAAAAAAGGGACTCTTAACAAGCACGATGGGCAGTTAAAGAAAAGAAGATTCCTTGGCATCAGGGACCTCACGCTGGATACGCTGTACATATGAAGCTGCCGTCTACTGAATCAGACCCTTGGTCCATCGAGGTCAGTACTGTCTACTCAGACTGGCAGTAGCTCTTCGGGTAGAGGTCTTTCACATCACCTATCACTTGAGCTTCTCAAACGGCAGATGCCGGGGATTGAACCTGGGATCTTTCGCATGCCGAGCAGTTGCTCTGCCCCTCCCCAAAGCATACTGCAAAGACTGAGAATGGTGGAGGTCGAGAATGGTCCCCGGGGGCTTTACCTGTCGTCGTGAGCTGCCCCCGCAAACGCCTGATTTCCACCATGGCTTTGTAGCGCAGGCCGTTCGCGGTGCAGAAGCTGGGCGTGCATCCGGCGTATTCACAGGCACCCACGGCTCCTGCCACGGAAGGTCACAACATCGGACGTCAGGAATGCAACAAAAGAAAGTGAATCCCAGCAAAGGCACTAAGGTGCAGATGATACGAGAGTGGAAAGGAGTCCTCATGAGGGAGAAGCTCCAACTTTAGAACCTCTCTGCTCTGAGCAGCCAATTGCCAGTGGATTTACTAATTTGACTCTGTTGTCTATATTGTTTTATTACTTAACTAGGAAAAAGGCCCGTTGTGGAAATAAATACAACGACCTCTAGAAAGAGGCTCTGGCCAGGTGCCCCGGCCTTGGACACTCAGTGTCAATTTGCTGTGGCGACCTCAGCAGGGTATAATGACACTGAGTCCACCATTTTCTCCAGAGGAACTGATCTCTGCTACCTAAAGAACAGTTGTAATTTTGAGTGATCTCCAGCCCTCACCTGGAGATTGGCAAGGATGGTTCCCCAGAAGGGAATAGTTGGTTTGGAGGGTGGAGTCTATGGCTTTGTACCTGTCCGAGGTCCCACGGCTCCTGAAACCTCACCCTCCTCCAGGCTCCATCCCTCACATCTCCAGGAATTTCTCACCTGGAGTTGGCAACCCTATCTCCTGCCCAGCCAATCATCAACCTACCTTTATTTCCCCCTCACTCTTCAGCTTTCCACCCCTCACACACCTGCAGCCTCTCCGTGCTCTGAAGCCCTGACTGCTACGTCACATTGGCTGTCATATGGGGGCCACCTCAGCAGCATATAAGGATACAGAGCCCACCATTTTCTCCAGGGGAACTGATCTCTGCCATCTGGAAAGCAGTTGTAATTCTGAGTGATCTCCAGCCCTCACCTGGAGATTGGACACATTTTACCTCAGAACAACAAACTGTTTAGAATGTTAGAGGCAAAAGCCAATCAAGTTGCATATGCAAACGACCTCTGTGTTCCGAGGCAAAGGCCAATGAGGCTGCATATGCAAATAACCTCTGTGTTCTGATTGGCTATGGGGGGGAGAGGAACAGCAAAATGTTTAGAATGTTGGAGGCAGGACTCAGGCAAAGCAGCCAGTGGATAGGGAGACCTTCTGAATGACAGATCAGAGAGCAAACTGATTTTGGAGCGTGTGGAATGTTCTAGAGAACTGCCACCACCATTCGGCTTTTATTTATAAGGAAGATTTTCAGGGCTGTTCTCTCAAGGGTAGTTCTCAAGGGAGCTCTTTAAGCCCCACCTACCTCACAGTGTGTCTGTTGTGGGGAGGGGACGGGAAAGGAGATTGTAATCCGCTCTGAGACTCCTTCGGATAGGGAAGGGTGGGTATAAATCCAATCCCTTCTTCTTCCACTACATGAGTGAAGATTCGAATCCCGGTGTCCCTGATCCTAGCCCAACACTCTAACCCCTATGCCACACAGGAATTTTTTTTAGGACCGTAAGATTATGCACAGAACCGTACTGAGCCCTACGAGGAAAGGCTAAGAGCCTTGGGAATGTTTAGTCTGGAGAAGAGGAGACTGAGGGGGGACAGGATCGCTCTCTTTAAATATTTGAAGGGCTGTCATTCGGAGGAGGGCAAGGAGCTGTCCCAGTTGGCAGCAGAGGAGAGGACCTGAGCCAATGGATTTAAATGACATGCAGAAAGGTATCGGCTGGATATTAGGAGAAACCTTTTCACAGTCAGAGTGGTTCAAAGGTGGAATCAGCTGCCTAGGGAGGTGGTGAGATCCCCTTCACTGGCAGCTTTGAAGAAGAGGCTGGACGAGTATTGTTCAGAGATGCTTTAGGCTGGTCCTGCATTAGGGGGTTGGAGTCAATGGTCTGTATGCCCCCTCCCAACTCTATGATTCTAGGATTATGTACAGAAAGCAACTTCAAGACAGCAACAACCGAAAAAGCAGGATGTGGATCGATGAATTGTGCAAAGAGCCATCGTAGCTCACCAAAAAATATACTGATGCTTACTTTCACCGCTCAAGGAACAAAGAGGGTTTTTTCCCCTAAATTAGGAACATTTTTTCCTAAATTTGAACAGCATACCTAGCATTACCATGAGGTCTCCCAGTTTCTGAGAGGGTCCTTGCCCAGCCCAGATCCGCTGCATCTGTACCACCCGCGCCTTCTTCCCCTTGAGCATCTCCTGCTCGGCTTCGCTCACGGCAGGCCTATAGCAGAGATCACACAAAAGCCAGAATGAATTGGGATCTGCGGTTCGGCTACCTTTGCCATCTCAGTGGCCACAGCCTACTCG